CTGTTACAGTAGGAGCTACAGTCCCAGTACAGTAGACCAGTCTGTTACAATAGGAGCTACAGTCCCAGTACAGCACAACAGTCTGTTACAGTAGGAGCTACAGTCCCAGTACAGTGGAACAGAGGACTGCAGTACAAAGGTCAGCGTGAGGTCTAAACTGTGCAGAATGGTTTCGAATCTTCTTGGAATCCTGTTCTGTAAATAAGTGACTTGCAGCTGCTGAACCTGCACGCGTCTTGTGGTTTTGTGCTGGCTTGTTTCTTCTGGTGGGGACAGTCTCCCCACTCGCCCCCGCGCCGCCGGAGTCCCGTTCCCCCGTATCTGCTCCTCTCGCCCCGACGGCGTGGCCACGCGCGTCGCACACAGGCCGCACGGCCGGGGCCGCTTTCGGGGAGCTGGCGCAGGTGACCCAGCCCTTCACTGGCCCGCCGTGGCGCCCCCCGCCTGCCCTTCCCTGTCCACATTCCAGCTCCAGCGCCCGGCGACCTTGAGGGTCCCCGCACGGCCTCCCACAGAGACAGGCACCATCGCCCCCAGACACCTCCCCACCGTGCCCCTTCCTCCCTGACCGGCCTGACTCGTGAGCTACAGTGTTGCCAGAGCAGTAAGAATTAGCAAAACATTTACTGCAAGAGATATTACTATTTGAGACCTTTGCTCTCAGTTCCTCTGGCTGCAGCATGAGATCACATGCTGGGCTGCAGCTCTGTTCAGATTCCTCCCCAGGAGGATGGGAAACTGCTCTGATTCTGTGGCTGTGACTGTGGAAATCCTAGGATTAGATTTATTATTTTGGAAAGAATGTCAGTCTAATTCTATAGCAGTTCCTGTCGTGAGGCAGAAGGGGCATCTCTTCAATGCCAGGCTCTGCTGCTGCCTTGTTCTGGGTCCAGATGGGCTGGCAGTGCCCAGGTCTGACAGTCCTGCTCTAGCAGTGCCAGGCTCTGCTGCAGCCCCTGTTCTGTGGGGGACAGCAAGACCAGGTCATCTGTGTAGAGCAGAAACCTGATCTCTTGTCATGTAGTGTGAGACCAGGAGCTGCAGACTGTTCCCTCACCTCTGCAAGCTCATTCATATAGATTCAGCAATATCACTTTGGTCAAGCAGAAAGAAGACAACGTGGGCATCAGTAGTGTCCTCCAGGGGGCGAGCACCAAGCGCCATACGGTTCGTTCTGAAATCCCTCAGTTACTGCTCAAGTTGAACATCACTCCCCTCAAATGAACATGTACATATCGAACTCCGTATCCTCTCCTCAGGACAACAGTGAGTCGGCGTTAAAGGCCAAGACATACCTGTTCCCAGGCCAGGTTCCCAGCTTGTCAGCTCCCTGCAGGGCAGGTCTGCGCCAGGCAGGGGGGAGCGAGCAGGCTCAGTGACGCCGTGCTCACACCCGCAGTGATGTCGGGGAGGTGGGCGGCCTGGCTCTGCGCTCCGGCCCCGGCGCTGACGATTGTGGATCTCGGGATTTAAAAAGGACAGAAAGCCGGGAGGAGGGGTGGGAGCGGCTGTTTCTGGAAAAACAGGGTCGGCCTCTGGCCAGCTCCAGCTCCCAGAATCCCCTGCTGCAGCGGCCCCGCTCCCGAGCGCTCTGTGGGCTCTGCTCCTGCCTCTCCGCCCGCTCCCTGTCCGCGGTGCTGTGGAGACCATTCGGGAGCGATCGTGCGGTGAGCAGCAGGTGACAGCAGGGCAGGTTCGGCGCGGCATTCAATATGTCACCTGAAGCAACAAGAGAGACGTTCAGTAATACATTTAATGTTCAGTTGAATGTTAATGGGGTTCAGCATGTTCGGTTTCTTGGTCTCCATTCCAGATTTAGTTCTAGAAACAGTTCGTGGTGCCAGAGACGGGTGTGTTAGTTCTCAGCCTGTGTGTATGAGCCCTGTCCTGTCACTGTCACTGTCACTGTGTTAGGGCCGGGGCAAATGCAGCACAGTCCTGATTGTACTGGCTTCTACACCAATCGTCCTCTGTTTCGGTTTCAATACTTCTTTCTCTGTTCCGGCTCCATGTTCTTGTTAGGCTTCTTCTGCTTTCTCTTCGCCTACTGACTGTTCCCTTAACTCCCGGCTTCCAGTCCTGTGGAAGCCTTCCTGAGTGTAACAGGCGCGTTCCCACAAAGTGTCCGTTACAAACCGAACGCTGACTTTCCTGGTTGACAGGGCTCGCGAGTGTTTGAGGCATGATGATGATGATGATGGTGGGTGAATCAGTTTGGCACCTCCGCCCTCAGACAGCAGGGTGGACAGGAGGAAAGAGGGGGGCGCGGCCTGTGAGCCTGTGTGCAGCCCAGCAGGACCCTCATGGCACTGGACTGTGTGCCAGACACAGACACAGGCTGCTGCGTCCATTTCGTGTGAATGGGGTTCAACATAGTTCTCAGTGCAGTGTTAATGTACTGGA